TCTTGACATCATCGTGTAAACTTTGTGTTGTTTGTTTGTGTTTCAAAGAGTTCAAACACAAGTTAGCACTCCAGTGTTGAGCAAAATATGCAAGAAATATCTTCAAACTGTTTTCAAAAAGAATGATGAATACTTATACAATTCCATCAAAAAATGTTTAAACGTAAATCGAAACACCAATGAGAAACCATCTTCAAAGACAACAATAAAATTCATTCTAAAATACACAGAGATTTTCTCGGAAATAACGGATATAATATTAAGACCATTTGAAATAGAAGTAACACACAAAGCAACACAATCACTTTATTCAGTACTGTGCAGACCAAAAGATACAGTAGAAACTGCAGTGAACATTTCATCGGCCAAAGTGTGCTTCTCATCGGACCCGAATCCAAAAACATAATTTAGTTGTGGAAAGACATGACATGTTGTATTCCTTCATATCGATTCATGAAGGCAATCACGGACACCATTTTGATTGGGCAGATAAAAACATTTTGAACCGAGGAAACACTTAAAATGCCAGGGAATTTCTAGAAGCACAAATGAATCAGCGATTAATAAACACGTTACTATAAATCAAATTTAATCCCTAAAGAAAGTGATTTACATGACAATAAAGTTCGAATTCCTAGTCAATAAAAAGGATCAATAGAGACGTAAATTAGCAGACAGCCACGACAATTGTTACATAATCCATAAAAACTCCGATAATTTCATTTGATACTAAAACCTGTGTTGAAGATGTCTGAAAGGACAATCGCGGCTTCTCAACTGAATCAACCAGCTCATGAAATACAAGCAAATGAAAATCATCCACCTGAGCTCCGAATCTTCTCTCATATTTCAAAATCTTACTAGCATCATACGCTTCTATCTAGTTAGATACCATATATATTCTTAGATAATATGGATTAGTAAAATATATCAAAACAGTAAGTTCAGACACTTGATACACGAGATACCAATAGTATTTCTGATAAACACCAGACTTCTAGCAATACCTACTTTCGCTCTTTACTGAAGATCATATTTCCAAGAAAGATAAGTAATAATGAACTCAGGCTGAGAACCAGGCAATAACCTATTGGTCAAGGAATAAACGGCGAAGAGTGAAGAAACATTGGACATACACTGCTGGAGAAAATGAAGGAGCATCACATACCAGTTCCTCTCAAAGAACCACAATAGGAAGCTACGATTTGTGCATGAGTTCGAGGATGAGATGCGTAAGGTCACACCAAAACGGAATGAGAGCTTTTTGACAGTCTTATTATAAAATGAAAACGATGGCAGGAAACAGAGCGCAGCGGTATTCTGTTAAACTCGTGTGTTCCACTCAAAACGTAAAAAATGATAAAAGGACAGAATTTAAGCGATGTGGTAGAATATTATTCTATCGTAGAGTTGTTTCATTTGATGACGACATGAAGTAACTTTATATTATACCTTGATGATGTCTGAAGCAGAATTTATTTTTCATAATCACGTAATCAGTAAATATTATTGTAAAATAAAATTGTCCCATGGTGGGATGGGTGGCAGTAGTAGAAAAATTGAAAAAGTGTTTCTTGAAATTCTGCACACTCTATATTGATGAGGGTCATAAATAGATGAATGGTTATAGTAAAAAGGTGTTATCTTTTAAAAGAGAAATGCAATTTTTGTTGATTATAATGAATAAAATTCAGTTTCGTAATTTGAATGAATAAAAAAACGTCAAATAAGATAAATAAAGTGATAAAATATTAAAGAATAAAGATGATACGGATAATTAACACTACCTTTCTTGATATAATCATAAACGGATTACGAAGGTAGTTTACAAAAAGTAACAAATTGGTTTTGTGTACACACTGCAGGGGTAGGAGGCTTGAGTATACGAATAGCCATTCCCGTTTTATATTTCAGTAAGCTCCCTTGATTGCTATTATAAATAACCTTGAAAGCTTGTATTAGAGCAAGTTTTTAGCTATTTCAGTCATCATAGGTCTGACTGTATAGCAAGTTCTATAGACGAGGAAGTTTGGTCCCTGTCTCAAAATCTTACGAGTCATTCCCCCAATGTATGTTATATTTCCTTAGGGACGGAATCGACTGTAGGTTTTAAAACTAAACGACTCCCACACGGTTTGAAAATTTTAAAGGATACTGGTTTTCAACAGGAGTATCCCATCAATATTTTACTTTCACCCTCTATAACAATGTACTAAACAAATTATTCACATTTTTCAGATAGTCTCCATTTTCCAATAAAACTATTGAAATTTATTAAAAGGACTAAATTTTCCCAGACTACAACATAGTTTTATGAATATTTTCTCTTAGGGATAATGCTGAAATAATACGAACTTTTGTCTGTTTGTATCTACAGTTAGTCACGTTGCCTGTGAGTCCCGGCTAACATGCATCAAGGCATCGCCTAGATTACCAGCCGATAATAATTCAGGAGACGAGGGTAGGTTGACCATGTGGCTAGAATCCCAACACTGCAAGAAACCACAACCGCTTCTGAAACTTCAAAGCCATATGTTTCACTGCATATCTTTAGAAATAGAAGAAGAAGAAACTCTCTTCACACTATCCCGACATCATAAAGACCCTAGATTTGTTCTTTAGTGATAGATAAGCGATACCATGGCAACGAACAACCGACAAATGAGATATTTAATTTCAATAATTATATAGATTATGCTGTACTTCGGCAATACTTTAGTCACCCCGCACACTGATGAGTACCACAAAGTAGGTCACTAGGCTATCGCAGTAGTTATTCACTTATTTGATATGGAATGCATGCGATTTATGATTCTTCGGAAACTGAAGTGCACTGCACAGCCCCCATAGAACTAGTGGATTACTGATTCATTTAATTTAAAGCAGGCTATTCGTCCTCTGGTATGTCTTCTTAATGGATCTTTTTTTCAACTATTCATTGGATTTGTCTTCTTTCTGGTTAGATAAGAGTTACAGATGATGAATAGCGTTCGCTTCTTCTGTTTACCTTATATTTGCTTAAATAAACTATCAATTAAACAGTAGATTTTATTTCCCAGTGTACCGTGTAATCAAATTGTTTTTTATTCAGAGCATTAATTTACCTCAACTAATATTTAAGTAAACAACAAGTAATCATGAATGAATACTATCACTTGTACACTATTTCACCCTTGATGAGCTTGAATGAAACGAGAACAACAAACTCATCTCAAGTTGTTTTTATTGCTTTGTTCATGCTAAAACTTTGCTTGACGTTTATTTCATCGCTGATAACTTTAGCTACTAAAAACTTAAGAGTAAAAGATGGTATTTGTCTTATCTATACTGTATAAATGTTCTCCAATATCTAATACTAAAAACAACATCGTTGGGTCAACTTTTTAAAAATCTGACGAAATAGAGATTACTGCAAAGAGAATGAAAAGTTACCAGGTGAACTTATTTTGACTTATCGTGAAGGTTCAATTGCAGCCACAGAAAAATGAATGGGTTCCACGCAACCTGGATCAAAATTTACTGGTTTCAGGACAGTGGTGGAATTTAGAAGTCGAGGACAAATAACAACTACTAAAAGACGTGAAAAACACTTAAATTAATTACTGAAGCACTTGTTTCAGTATAGAGTGGGTTTCCTAATGGTTTCTAGGAGGCCGTGAGAAATGTCTTAGTGATAGAGTATTCTCAATGTGTACCAATAATGCTTAACATCACATATAATGAACCCTTTAAAGGGTAGATCAAACCTCTATGAGAGACCTTTTTCAAATCATTGCTAGCTGATATATATATTTACATATGTAAACGGTGAGAGACTAGATAGTTAGTTGATCCCTTATGTAATAAAAATATTTGCAATCAGTAAACGTTTCTTTTGCTAGGATCGTTGTTTGGTGGAAATCATCAGCAAGGCTAGAGTGTGGACCTCAAATATTTTCTAACATTCTATTTAAAATTTGAACTTGCATCATTCAATAAACTCTGCGTCAGTGGCACAGCGGTAGAATGCTTGCCGACCAATGATATGGTCTGGGGTTCTATCCCCTGCCGACGCACTCTTGTATATCATTAAGCCAATACTAAGACTGGTAAGGTGGTAAGGTTGGGTATTACGCTGGCGACATCATCCCGTAAAAAATAAAAACCGGTGCTACCGAAACTTCAGTCCTCTAGCTTGAAGCCCTATGTTCTACTGAGAACGTACAGGAATAAAAACAAAAAACAAAACACTAATAAACTAGTAATACACTTTACCACTAAGCTACTCACACTTATGATTTATTTTACCTCCCTATCTATTCACGACAAACGCATTTAATCAGTTACCACGTTTAGGAATGCCTGTTTCTGATACATTTGAATCCATTCTTCCAAGGCCTCGGGGGATTGATAAGTCCAAGTAGTATACCCATCAGGCAATTAAAATTATTTGTGGAGTTTGGGATTGAAGGATTGCGATACTTATATATGTGTTCAAATTAAAGTTAAATGCACCGTTATCTGGGACTGAACCAGTAAAACCTGAGTAGAGTCACATATATGTTCAGGCATCTGAAGGACGTTAAAAAGACATTCAGTCAACTTTGACCTCACTATCTGTATTCTTCCATGGCCGATAGAAATTTGGCATTACAGAACATCATCGAACCGTGTTATTTCGACACAATTACCAAAACAATATCAGTTTTACCGTACACACCTTCAATTGAAGTTATTTCCAGTATTTTGGTGGATACTGACCGGCCTTAGGATCTAAAAAGTGAGCCTCGTTCTGTCTGAAACTCGTCAATCTAACGGATCCGAATTTTTAGTGAGCGCTGATCTTCCTACTGAGATTCGAATCTAACACACAAGCTTCAGAAGTCTAAAGCGTTACACACTTGGCCACTAGGTATTTTCAAGAGGTTCTTACCAAGAGTTTACATATCAAAGAAGATAGAACTTTTCGGTTCAATAATTACCAATAGACATGAATAGTGATAAGTAGTTAATTCACTTACTCGGATCAGATAGTTTGTTACTTTGAATAGCAACCATCATAATAATCACAATCAAAAACAGAAATCTCATTACGTAGTCATATTCCACCGAGACTGTCAATGTTTTTACATTATAAAATGTTAGAAGTACTTCAATATAGTTTTGTCAGTGTAACAATATTAATGATAGGTAGTGAGAATTTGTACATTAGTCACCAAAATCCTTTTTTGTAGAAACAGTAGGAAAAAGAAAACGCCAAATATCTTAGTGTTAAACGTTTGCCAGTTAATCATGAAAATTTTAAAAATAAATCTAAACATTTTGATTAGTAAGATTTCCAATTTTCTATTGGCTCTAAAATTGACCAATCAGATGTTGAACGATTTATATTACATAGTGGAAACTTGGATTACATTTAAAACTTCTGGTTACGTTGAAACATAAATTCTTGAGAAAACATCAGATGCATATTTCACGTGATTTTAATAGGTGATGACTTTAGGTGGAGTGAAATTTTTACCTGCAGTCGGGTTAAAACCAGCTGGCAGTATGCAGACTAAGCGGGGAGACCCTGCAGTTTACCATGTGATTATTCGATTGTAATTCACACGGACAATGAGCTTACCTGTCATTTGTCGCTATACTAGATGCCTCGTTAGGCTGCAGCTTGTCGACTATCTCAATAAACAGCTAAGCAACAAAGCCACTCACCTGCATCATGTCACCTGTTATCGAACTCAATGAGCATTAGGATATGAAAAAAATCCGTAAAATGATAATAGTGTGAATCAAATTTCAGTGAAAATATTTGCCCACTAAAGTAGATGTACTTAAGAGTGATGATTCAACTACACTGGCCATTGTTTATCTACAAATGTCGGCAAAACAAGAAGGGTTTATGTGAAGAATTGTTTTCCGTGACTTTTCCTCAGGTTCTACACTCAGAAATCAATGTATAGTATCATTTAACAGGTAGTAAATGCAAAAATTAAGGTTGTACCAAAAGGAGTAGTATTATGAATGAATGAATGAATGAAGGATGACTGAGTGGTGGGCAATGAGATTTCATTGTGATTAAAATGTCTAAGAAGAATAGAGGTGTGAGTGATGTCTTTGCTAATTCATATTCTACAGTGTATGTTTCAATGAATGAGTCATAATCAACAGAAAATTATTAGTAACAATAATATTGTTGTGATAATACTCTATTACTGAAAGGGAGCCAAAGGGATAGGGAACAAACGTTTACCACAGTGCGATCACCAGACATCTCATCGATACAGGACATGCGGTGGAAATCACTAAACACTTTAAAGTAATCAGTGAACAAAACAGGTCAGTTCTTTTCAGATTTACTGAAGAGATTGCCATTATGCTCCTGAAACCCGATTTATGTATTCAGAAAAAAGCATTTATCTGTCTTTTCTTGTATTATTTATTATTATTGTTCCCTTGGGTACCTAGTGGAACATAGGGCTTCAACTGCACGCCTCCACTTGCTTCTGTCTGCTGCTGTACTTTTCACTTGCATCCATGCTAGTCCATACTGTTTCAACTCCTCTTCACACGATCTCCTCCATGTCACCCTTGGACGTCCCGCTCATCGCTTCCCTTTTGGGTTCCACTCGAGCACTGGCCTGACGCGCGATGTCACCCAGCGGCCTCCTCAGCGAGTGTCCAATCCATCTCCACTTTCTCCTGCATATTTTTTGGGCGATTGGCTCCTGTTTTGTTTGTTCTCATAGGTTCTTGTTTGTGATTCTTTCCGGCCATCTAATCTTCAGTATCGAACGAAGACAGTTGTTGATGAAGGTCTGCAACCTGTTGAATATATTCTTGGTGACCCGCCAAGTTTCTGATCCGTATAGCAAAACTGACTTGACGTTTGTATTGAAAATCCGAATTTTGTTGTTAATACTGTGTGACGAAGATTTCCAGATTGGTTTCAGATTGATGAATGTGTTTCTGGCCTTCCTGATTCTCGATTTGACATCTTCGTCCGTCCCTCCTGTGGTTGAGACATTCACCATTCACTAAATTTCCCTTATTCTCTTTCGTCTGATCAAGTAATCTTTGCCTTTAACCGCTCCTCCTTTTAACTGCACTGAACCTTCGCTTGTCTCTTGTCCCTATAATTTGACTTGAGGTGACCCTATGTTTACTGAATTTATTAATTGCTCGTCATCTAACTCACCCTATTTCTATAATACGTAACTCTTTTGCCATTGTACTCAAACCATTATTTGTGTTTCAAGTTGAACTAAGCTATATAAGTTTACTTCCTGAGTACTGTTTATTGAGCTAGGAGTCTTCTGTCAAATAACATTGTATAGCACTCACAGCTGATGAGATTCCTCATTCTGCATGAACTGCTATTCTTACTTTATTCAAACAGAAAAGGCAATTGTGACGTAACTTTCCTTATTATTGATGACGACGAATCTAACTTAACATGGAGATAAGACAGTTCAACTTATGGTGACCTAAAATCAATCCATGGTAAATATATAGGTTGAAGATGCATTTTTGAAGTCCAAGGTTAGGCCTAAACCTAATGATTCTGATACCTTTAACTTTGGATAAAAGACGTAATAATACACCTTCATCCTACATATTATTCCTATATGCTTCTTGGGTTTCGCCCTATTGTTCACCATACACTAAATGAGATGAGATTGGCGTGTTTACTGACTGACCTAGTTTCATCTATTCATAACCGTATATGAGTAAATTACCCAGAAATTTAATCCTAATGCATTGTGACAGCTTGTACAAAGGTCGAGAAAATAATTTCGTTGTCTCAGATATCCTCACAAAATACCTGGTCAATATAACGCTTAGGCAGTTTGCTCTTGAATTGTGTTGTTTAGTAAGGTTTCTTACTGCTCACTCTATACACTTTCCTTTTATTACCTTTTCTACATTCGATGAGATACTTATTACTCTTAAGGTACTGGATTTTCCTATTTGTACAATCAATGATGTAAAAGAGTCTTATTCAGCGACTAAGACAGTAGGCTTAGCTACGTCTTCACTCTTCCAGTATGCAACTACGAGACTAGATATAATCCCGAATTTTGACTACCGTGTATCATTCCTGTTTATCATCTGCTTGATCATTAAAGTCGTAATCAGAGTGGCGAGAAATTTTGTCATCAGTAGAAGAATTAGATAAAAATATTCCTTTATTATATGTCCGAGCCCACAGAACAATCATAGGTATATTGACAGCCAAGGCGAATGAAAGAAACACTCAACTACAACAGCAGTAATCCACCAATATACGAAAGAAAATGTATACAAAAATTATCCATTCTCTATGCTGCAGAATTCGGAAAACTTGCTGTATCGATACGATTGACACAGAACTAGAAAGCCTTCTCACAACTCTATTAAATAATGGATAACACAGAAGGTTTATTGACATAAACATCAAGAAAGAAACCATTCCCACACAAATCACGGTGCCGAAGAAGACACTGTTCATGAATTTTGCTTTTAAAGGTGATATTGTTTCTGAAGTCACTACAAGCCGTTTGTCTAAACGTATTAAACAGGGTTTTGTGAAGCTGACATACATTTTGTATTCACCAGCCAAAACATGATTCTACAATGCGTTAAGGATAAGCTACCGCTTATTTCCGCCTCTCTGTGCATATACCCACTCACATGTTTCTGTGGGGCTGATTAAATTGGATTTTGTAAGCGTAAACTCCATAAACGCGTAGCTAAACACTACCTGGTTTGGTTAATTAAAGGTAAACAAAGGATCACAAAGTATTCAATCTGTGAACACTTCCTAGAGTCAGGTCATTGAATCCCATGTGAGTTATTCTGTAAAGTTATCTACAGAACCAAATCCAATCAATCCGAAAGCTCATGTTTTCTCCAATTATGCATAGCCAAGGCTCTACATTTACTTGGACAAAAGCCTAAATTATATATTCAAAAACGTTTTGTTCAACCTCTTTCTTTACCTTGGTCATAGTAATGTTTATTTTATTTTATTCTATTTTACCACCCGAATTCATTCCACTTCACATCTCTTTCACCGTTTTTATTGTTATCATCATTGTACTATTAATTTTTTAGACAACACTTGATCTACTATTGTAAAATGTCTGTACCAGTTCACTTATTTGGTAATCTTTAAACTTTTTGGAATTCATCCACTTCAACTCTAACCCCTGTGCATATCATTTTAATTATCTTTACTCATATCATTTGCATATTGACCGAGCAATTTCTAGAGCCACTTAATGCCATTTTTTGTAACATAGATACAACCGTACAGCTTGAAAATGAAGTTGTTGTCAAGCGATATTTCTTCGCTGAACAAAAACTATGTTCTTCCTTATGAATTAATGGGTATACTTCGCGAGAAATACACTACATGATTCAGATAAATTGTGTCTTGTTGTTTTGTTGATATTCGTAAGAGCAACTAATATCGCTAATGTAGAGTGGTAAACATCAAGTCCAATATACAAGAGCAGATAGAAAGCCTGAAACTGTCATTGGAAACCACAAAAATGTCCATCCTATTATATGTCATGAATGTTTCTGAAATAACTGCTAGAATACTCAAACCGAATGGAATTGACCAAAAGACCTAACAGCGAAAGAAGATAAGGTCAGTACCACCTGCAGAGATAAATTGCATGGACTGTGATAAGCATTGTATTGGTGAAAGTTGGCGTCCCATTCCATTCTGAATACAAGATCATAAACTAGCTGTTAAAGAATACGAAATGCATTGATTCATATAGATGCATGTAGACAACTGTAGACACCAATATAAATGGAAAAAAGTAGAAATCTTAGTCACTGAATGAACTGAAAATGCCAAAGAATTCACAGAGGCCTTGTACTCAGACGAATTCGCGGTTAACAGACATATTACCACAGATCAAACTTATCAACTTATGAAGAATAAGCTACTTGACAAAAAAGAATGAATTCGAGGTCAATAGAAACGATCAATACTGATGCAGACTAACAACTAGTCACAACAGACAATTACACCACCCATGGCGAATCCACCTCGTATTTAAGATTGTTCTGAGGATGTTATCTGGAAGGAAAAAGAAAACTTCAAAATTAAATGACAGGAATCAGGAAACACGACCATATCAGAATCACCCATCTAAGCTACGAATCCGTGTTGCTTATATGTTGATCATACTTATATTTGATTACCACATACTGACTATGAAACATGGGATAGCATATATAAAGACAATTCCGTGTGAGATGTGTGATAATGAAAAGAAGCAGTAAGTACTATGCA